GGGGAGATGGGATCGCTGGAAAAATGCGTGGAGAGAAAAAAGTGGATAAAAGGAAAAGGGTTAAAGTAAACGTATTACTAATAACAATATGAGTGTAAGTCAGGAAAGCTCAGATTAAGGTTACAATAGACATCTTTGATGAAAGCTACATTAAGAAAACGAACTTACCCTTTTGACGTTTTGTTTGTTCAGAATCAATTACTAAATCGCTCAGAAAACATTTAGCAATTTTTTTATATTGCCAAACAAGATAAAATCCTTACAATAATTTAACCGATATCACAGTACATACAAATCTTACTGATTAGTAAATATCACGTCCATTACGTTTGATTAACTTCCAAGTGGTGGCTGCTATAAATGTTGTCCAGATTTTTATTTTTAGTTGCTGGTTACGATAACGATGCATAATATATTACACCGTTGTTAGCAGAAGAATGATTAATTTTTTTTACGAAATTAAAATTATTTAAATAAAATACCTTAGGGACTTCTGGTGTGTTTCAGTATCTTTAGACACATATTATAGGATGAATGAACTGGTCTGTGGGAGTCAAAGTACTTTGTCTTCAGTACACGCGATTTAACATGAGATGGTTCTACTGGGTTTGTTTAAATTAATTTGTCGAGAAAAGGAAAAAAACGATGAATTTCATGATTCATTAAGCAAAAAACATGAATTAGTTGAGATTATTTATGTTTTCCGGAATCTATAAAATTTTATCTATCACCATATAATCGAAATGTACATAGCGATAACAAGTGTAAGGATTGTACAAATACTTTAGCATTCTGACAATGTAAAATGAACGAAGTGCTTATTATATTACTATTTACATACAAAAATACCATTTCATTAATTAGTAAAAAAAACTGAAATTTCGTTAAATTTCGTTGAATAGAACTGATTTAGGGTTGCAGTATAAAATTATTTTCAAAAATATAAGGTGTTTCAATTGAAACTTGAAACAAATTTTAGAGAAAGAATTTTAGATTCCGCATTAAAAAAAAAGCAAAAGTTTTTTTTGTATGTTTGCATTGAAAAATTTGCAAATTTTCACCACTGTCACATTTAAAGGTAAAAATCTGGAATTTCGTCCGAAAAAATAAAGAGCGTTTTCACTTTTGTCACAGTAAGTACGCTTCCTTTTGATACCAAATTTGTGAAATGGTTACTTTCGTATTTTCTCGACGTTCCAAAACCCCTAGACGACGAAAAATAGGTCCCTCATTTCCGTCTGCCTGTCGTCTGTCTGTGTCGATTTTTATTAAACGGATAATTTCCAAAACTACTGTTCCGATTGTTGTCAAAGTTTATATGTGATTTAAGGATATTGCGTAGATAGTAAAACGCTAAATAAAATTTTCTAATCATCCCCACCAACAATTTGATGACGTGCCCTCATCCCTTTGCGTACTAAGAAAGATTACCTAAATTTTATAAAAAAATATACTCCTGTATTTGTGGTTTATGAATCCGGTTTCATTTTTATACAATTAAATACTTTACAAAGTTTTTTTGCTTAATATTTTCCACATGTTCCATTGTTATCGATTTTTTTACACTCTGACTGGTATTACCTATATCTTTTACTTATAGGAGTTATCATAAAATAAACAAACGTCTTCCTTTGAGACAAATTGGAAAATATTATAAAATATTGGGTATCGATTTTTCATGCATATGTGAGGCAAAAAGTTTTCTGCAAAATTCCAACCTCCACCTTTAAAAATGATGAAACTGCAAACATATTGAAAACTATTTATCAAAATACTTTTGTATACAATATCGCTTTTCTCCTATATAGGCCGCTCCATTTAAAGAACGCAAATGAGTTCAATTAGATTGTTGAAAGAATGTTTTCAATAATAGTAATAATATGGAACAATAAGCAATGATAAAAGGGTAATGATCCGTCAGGAAATTGTTGAGACACACTAATAACTTTTAAAAATTGGTCGAAGGTTATGTCGCCAGAATTTCCCCCGTTTTTTTCCTCTTTTACATATATCTCCAATTTTCTTCTGATCAGCATTTTTTGGAATACGATATAACTCCGGGATGGTAAATCCTAGAGCTTTGAGCATTACACGTATCGATTTCTTGGGATCTTTAGTTGGCGTCAGTTGATTTTTAAGCCGATATCGGAGTTAACCTCAGTCTGAGAAGAGTATAAATTGAGGGAAGTCATTTTCCAAAAGCTATAATAAGGGAAAAATTTCGAAAAAAAACTGAAAAAATCTAAAGGTTTAACGATCCCTTCTGAGATCAAATTCTTGTTACATTTGAATTAATAAACAAACCAAATTCAGGGATATTCTGTGCCTGAATGAGAAAATAAGGGGGAAATGCCCGAATTAGAGAACTTTGTAACCAAACAAAAATTTGGCAAAAAATGAAAATCTTCATATCGACTTCAAAACTAGGTTCTTAGATAATTTTGCATCACTAATTCCATTTCTGAAATCAATTACAAGATATCTCTCCGATTTTCGTTCGAACAGCATTTTTTGGAATATGAAATTTTTTTTTTGGAATTTAAGAGCTCATAATGCTGGAGCGGTGAGGCTTCGAACTTTAAACTTAATACCCACCAATTTTTTGAAAGTTTTTATTCGCGTCAGTTGATTTTCAGCCCGAAATCCGAGTTACTTTCAGTTTGAGAAGGGCATAAATTGAAGGATATCATTTTCCAGTAGGTATAATAAGGAAAAATTCTGAAAAAATCGAGAGGCTTCAAAGACCCTTTTCGATACCAGTTCTTGTTCCAGAGATATGAACTACTAAATAAACGAAATTTTACGAAAATCCGTGACAGAATAAGAAAATTAAGGCCATATGCCTGATCAGAGAAATTTGCAATGGGAAAAAAATTTGTCAAAAAATCAAATTCTTCAAATTAATTTTAAAATTAGGTTCTTAAGTAATTTTGCACAGCTAAATTCGCTTTTGAATTGAAACATAAAATATCTCTCTGGTTTCCCCCAAAACAGCATTCTTTTTAATTCTAAAATTTTTTTTTCGAATTTAGGAGCTCATAACTCCGGAACGATAAGGCCTACAGCTTTAGACTTAACTAACACCCATGGATTTCTTTAAAATTTTTGTTCGCGTCAGTTGATTTTCAAGCCGAAATCCGAGTTAGTTGCAGTTTAAGAACGGCATAAACAGAAGGACATAATTTTCCAATAGGTATAATAGGGAAATAATTCTGAAAAAATCAAGAGGATTCAAAGACCTCTTACCAGATTCTTATTCCAGAGATTCGAATTAGTAAATAGGCGAAATTTTAGGAAGTTCCGTGCTAGAATAAGAAAATTAGGGTGATATGCCCGATCAGAGAAATTTGTAATGGGGCAAAAATTTATCAAAAATTTAATTTTGCACCGATAAATGAAGGCAGATAACCAACGTGAAACGATGTATACTTAGTTTCTAGTACTTGTTTAACTTCGACTGTTTATGTTTATATTTCGAAAAAATTCGTCGGCGCCAGCCTCAAAGTACGCGTTTGTGTTAAAAGAAACAGAAATTTGATTGATTTTGTCTTCTCAACACAGAGGACAAGACTAATTAATTAGTTAAGCACACTTGTTTTTCTTTTTTTAATAAAGATAATAACAGGAACAGACGGCAGACAGACAGACATACGAAAACGGCAAACCCATTTTTCGTACACTTCGGGTCATGACACATCGAGAAAATATGAAAGTAGCTGGTCGCTCGATGGACTCGATTATAATGCTTTCTTAGCTTACGCTCGGAGTAAACTCAGTAATGAAGTACATTATTTACAGTTTTTATTAGATAGATAATCTTCGACTACCGGGCTCATTTTTCTCAAATTATATATGTATTTAAGAAATATCCTGCAGATGGTAGAACGCTAACCAAAATTTGTCTGATCATCCCCATCAACAATTTAATGACGTCGCATTTGAACTTTGCATAGTATTCATTATTTAAATTTCTATAATTCTATATTCATTTATTTTATTTTTTTGTGACATTTTTATTGCTTTTTGTAGCATTTTTTTGTTGTTATTTTGTAAATTGAGATAATGTTTTCCTATTTTTGAGTCCCACAAGATAAGCTATATAAAATAATGAAATAGTCCAAACTAGGTAGTGTAGACTTAAGAGTACAGGAAGTTTTCGAACGTTTTTAGTTTCATTAAAATTTTTTTAATTTTAATTTTTTTAAATATAACCACAAAATTTTTATTTTTGTCTTATATAGAAGTGTATGTCTATTTTCTCCAACAGAGACCCATTAGTATTATTATTATTATTATTAACTCAAATTAAAACGCGTCTGAATAAAACCAAAAATTTCTAGTGTTCAATTACCATTTAATATAGGAATAATAATCGCATTTCATTGAATTTTGGACTTTTAGTCACGTTTAATAAACAACTTATTGACAATTGGTTTCTCCCTGTGTTTCAGTATACTAAAAATGATAAAAAAAATAATAGTAGATTACTAACTCGAGTGAAATGAGCTTGATTACTGCTGAGCACTAAGGTGGTTTACCGAGAGGCGAAGCCTCGAGGTGAACCATAGTGCGAAGCTGGAATCACTCATTTCACGAGGTTAGTATACTATTTTATCCACAATTAGTTTTATTCACAAAAAATTTATATTCAAATCTAAAAAAATGTTTCATAAAATATTTGTGGGCTGTCACTTCATCTGTCACTGGTTTACTCCTTTTTTCGTTTATGTCATTTTGCATTGTTTGTGCGACTTTAACTCCATTCAAATCATGTCTGAGACCAGCGATAATGAATGCCAGAACTACGCCAGAAGGCTGGCGAAATTGTAAAAAATCTTTTTCCCGAAAAAAACAAAACAAAATATAACAAAGCCTACAAAATTTATATGGATTGGTGCAACAAACATTGGATCCGAAAGTATTTTGCTAGCATATTTTGCAGAAGAAGCGAAAAAAAAATCGCGAGTATTGTCGAAAGAGGAAATTCATAAATTTAATAATTATTTATTTGACATAATAAATTTATTGGATATAACCGGTTGTAAACACAAATTACTTTAAAAATATAGAGAATTTCCTAGCTTCAATATTTCTTATAATTTCTTTCGTTCTTTGGTTGATGAGGAGTCTTGGAATTTTGGGGAAGTTAGGCACAGGAAACTGCAAATAGGGCAGGTGCATCTTCGGAAACAATGCTTTCACAAACGTTTTAACTCATTCTACTTATGTTACCTTCATTTTAAGCTTTTGTCATAAAATTTCTTTGGGAAGTTTCTACGATTCGGTTTCCCCAACTTGGCCCCAAAAACAAAAACAGAAATTAACTGTGGGTTGAGTGCTGATGTTCACTGATGTAACAATACAAAATTAGTTAAATTACTCTTCGAAAACTTGTTTATTAGATTTATAAATGAAGTAATTTGCAGGTTATCGACTAGAGTTTTCATTGGCAACTGTCAATCTGTAGCGGGTAGCGTACTTCAATACCGATTTGAGATTTCGAGATTGAATTCCTTAAATTTAATTTAAAAACAATTATTAATCAACCGTATAATTAAATTACTACTAGAATAAACTTAATTTAGCTATTAAAAATAATTATGTAGACTTTGTTTAAATATTTGAAACATTTTTAATGAATGTAATGAGCGACCTCTATTGAATTCTATATGTACTTATGACAGGTTAATAATGTAAAATGACAGAAAAACGAGTTGGTAATGTGCTATTTGTCGCCTTCTAAAAAGTTAACAATAGTTTCATTATAATGACGATTGTGGATAAATAAATATCATATGATACGGTAAAGTTTTCAAACCTGTCAATGATCAACAAAGTTTCACCTGCCGCTCAAAAATGTTTAACTCCGAGAAGTTTATCCGAATGACACCAAATAAAATTTAATAGAAGCGAAAGGTCTTCAACTAGATATAAATTTTAAAAATAAAACTGACCTCAAATCCATCAAGTGTAAGCAAAACACATTCTGTATTTTTAATACAATGCAGCTGCGTCATTTGTCTCTGATAAACGAATGTTTTTACTCCTGCTGCAAATAGTTATATTTCTTTTGCCATGTGCTTAATTAGAACGTCAACGGCAATAGCCTCTCTGACAATTTGCATATTACCACGTATAAGTATAAGCACACAGAGAAGACAGCAGTCAAGTGACTGTTTATCTGTTATTATTTATTCAAATTATAACGTGCTTTTGGCTATTTTCGTTTCCAGCGTTGCGAATACCGCTTAAACATGCAAATGCCGCCACATGTACCTTATTTAGAAAGACTGCATTCCGTTGACGGCGCTTTTCCTAATTACGTAGCACGCTTATCCCGAATTTATTCCGACTTATGAAACCTAATTATTCGAAAAATTGCGCAAAAGCTCGCACCGTGAGTAATGCCACATATCTTATCCTTTCGTCATAGATAACGTCTATTTCGAAATTAGGAAACGCGATTGTCGGACGAATTTCGACAAAGGGTTTTCGAAAAGTCGTTTCCACATTTGCACTCAGGCAGACGCTTCTCGTTACTAAGGGCACTGGAAATGAAAATAAAGATTTTTCACTCACCCATTCAATGATGTTCGTGAATAGAATCACATATTTGATGATAAGAATTTGATTTTCCAACTTTAGAACATTTCCTTCGCCTTCACCGTCACCTTTTCCAGCCATTCTGCACAAAAAAGGGCACTGTTACACGCGAAAACGGTTATTGTTTAGTTTTAATGAAATACGACACTACACTGAACCTTTCTGGGTTAATCATATCACACCTATTTATTCTTTGATAAGATAAAATATCGCTGTTCAAACAAAATACCTGAATCACTTGTTACTGGTACTGGGAATAGCGTCATGAATTATTTTTTCCTATTTATCAATATTTGGACAACCGATAAATGCGTTTTAAATAAAATTGACGACAAAGTGAGGGATTTCCGTTTGCTCGGTCTATTTGCGGTTTTGCGTCAGGTGCAGACTACTACAGTTTACATTTGTGAACAAGTGCTACATAAGCAAATAGAAAAAGGTACTGACTTGATATTCTAATTCAATATTGGCTGTATTCAGAGAGACAGTCTCATAATGTTCATTCTACATCAGAGTTAAATTCTCTACATAACAACCAACTTCGCTGAAATGAAAGTAGATCATTTTCAACAAGATGGGGCTACAGCGCGGTCGACCAGGCCACATTAGCAATGTTACAGAAATTTTTGGTTTAATATTTTTGATAATTTAATCTGAAAATGTATTTTGCAGAGCTCTTGCTGTACTTATTCATGTTTTAATCAAAAGAAAATTAATTATAAACTCTGAAATTAATACATAAGTAGTCTTACTTTTGTAATTTAACCTTTGCTGCAAAGTGATTGAGGCAACGTCCACTATATTTTTAAAACGGGCGTTTTTTTTTTAATAAATAACGTCTAGTCAAAACCTGGAGGAGGAAAGCAAAGGGTACGGTTTAGTGTAGGCCATCATCTATCAATATTTTAATTTAAAATCGATTATTTGGAAAGAACCCTACTTAAGCTGTCAATAAAATGGACATCTAAATGTAAGTGACCCCAGGGAAATTTCGTGAACAACTGATTTTACTTTGCCAATTTTAGTTATATTGGTTCGGTTAAAGCGAAGACACAGATCAAATTTAATAAAGTGGGTGCTGCAAATCACCTTGGTTTATTATTAAGTCTTTATTTTTTACGTAGCGATCTCCAACCGTACAAAGGATCCGTTATAAGACTCCTTCACGATGCATAAGCTTTTTTATCAGTGTCTTCTTTCCGGATGTGGATTGGCGTCGTTCCTATCGTCGTCTCGAAACAGACGCACATATTTTATATCAAGTGGCGAAATTTTTTGTCGACGGCCTAATCGAAATGCGGCCCCGCTTAAAAACGTCTGCCGAGGAAACTTTTTCAATCAATAGATTTAATTTCATTGTCAGTTGAACAAAAAGATTGAAAGTGGAAGTTGAGTCGAAAATCTTGAAACAGACGGTTTCGTTCTTGGCAAATTACTTAATTTTTAAAGTTTCCCATCTTTTACTATTCGAGCAAACAGCCAGACAAAAAGTTTGGTTTAGGTTATTAGCCAGGATGTTATTTGGCAGCTCGTTCAACAAACTTGGTCCGCATTTCCTAGCGGTAGATTTATTTTAATTACGGTCTAACGAGAAAAACCCTTCTCAATACAAAGAGAGGCGAGTTTCTCAGATGTGACTTGAATATATAAAGCCAAACTCATAAACTCCTTTTACATTCAGATTAAGATCAAGCCAAACAAAACTTTTGTCATGATGAATCCGGATTTAGCTTTACATAATTCGCCTTCGCTCGGTCACCGTCTCACAACTTCCTTAAATTTCATTAAATTAATTTAGCGACTGGCGCTCGTGCCGGCTTACAATTATTATTATTCGGATCAGGGCATTAAAATATATCATTTGCATCCGCGGTGGCAGATTAGCAACCTACGGACCATAATCGCCCACATATTTCACTCTATTTTCAAATTAACCGGTGGATGTGTGTTCACGCTTGAAAACACGCACACTTTTATGACAACACCCGCCAGAGTGAAATTTAAACACGCAAATATGCAACCGGCTTTTCTGGATTTAATCGAACGGTGGCAATTCATTAATAATCATGAAATTAAAATGAACAGAAGATCAACTTCTACTTGTTAAAAGTTTCCTAAAGTTATTTATCAGTCTTAAAATGAATAGGAACGTATACCAGGGGTCCAAGTTTATCTGTTCCACTTCAATATCTTTTAATTGTTTGAATAAATTCAAGTTTGAAATTTAGAACAGGTAATTAACACAAAGACATCGGCAAAATTCGTGTTCCTCTAGTTCTTTCGAACCAAATTTTTTGGAATGGTGCATGTTTTTTAGCGCCTTAAATAAAACAAGGTGGTGGCAAACCACTGACATTTTCTTAACTTGTGGAAGTACCAGTAAAAAGTATAAAAGAAAAATAATGGAAAACTAAAGATATTCATTCCAGTGAAACCGAATATGATGCCAAAAATGTCGAAAAATAGGAAAGAAACGACAGGATTATACGAAGAGAATTTTTCAGCAAAATAAATTCCAAACCGCATGATTTCTTACGTTCAGCAAGATATTTATGAGAATATCGTGAGCTTAAAAAACCGAACTAAACGTTAAAAAAGATGGCAACAAATAAGAAAGAAGCTGTTGATATTTTGGGGTGGGTAAATGTGAAAAATACTCTCCAAGTCAGATCATTTCCTGTAAATTTCCAAGCTGAGTTTGCGAAAATTAGGACAAAGTCGAATGTGCCCTGTCATCCTGTTAAATTTTCTTTAAACTTTCAAAGTATTATAAAACATTTTTATAAATCAAAACACTTATAAAAATTGCAACCTATAAACATTTCTTTTCGTTAAAAAAAACCTTTGCCATTTAAGGCAAAACCACCATAAATATAATGTTAAAGTATGTATAGTTTTTCTATACATTGTACTTCTTAACAACCCTAGAATACGAAAAAGTAGATCTCGCTTTTCCGGCTGCCGGTCAATTTTTGTTATACGTAGGTATATTTTACTTTTTTTAATATATGCACGTATATGAAACATGTTTTTAAGTACTGTGTTGTTAAAAAAACTATATTATATTAAGAAAAGAAAACACAAAGATAAAGCTTCCCCCCCCCCCCATCTCAATTCTGATGTTTTTTTTAATTCGTCGTGAACCAGGAGGTGGAGTTTAATTGCAAAATCCTTATTTTTTTTTCTACAACGAACCTCACATATACTCGCCCCGATCTTAGTTATGATCAATTTTTCATTGTTCTCAGATATAGGGACGGAGCATAATTGAAAAATCCATATTTCCTTACAAAAATTTACCATTTTGAACATGTTTTAAGTTTATCTATAGCGGTGATTTATCAATGCATTGCAATGTTTTTCCTTATGCTTGTGGTTTTTCACATTTATTTGCCTAGATATCGAGATTACGATTTCAGATCTGTAATTGGCGGAAGATTATTTATAATTTGACAATTCTTAGTCAATTAAAACCATTTTAACCATTTTTTGAAAAAAAAAAATGAAAATAGAAGTGTCGAAGAACTGAAAAATTGACAAATCGAAAAATCGAAAAATTTAAAAGCCAAAAAATCGAAAAATCGTGACATTGGAGAAATAGAAAAATCGAAACATCGAAAGATAGAGAAATCGAGAAATGGAAAAGTCGAGAAATCGAAAAACTGAAAAATCGATAAATCGGAATAGGCCAAAATTGAAAAATCGAATAGTTAAAAATTCAGGAATTAAAAAATTTTAAATTAAAAAACCCATAAATCGAAAAATTGTAAAATCGTATGTACATATAATCGCCGAAACAATACAATTTACAATAGTAAAGTTTATTTAAATTTGATAAAATAAGATACTCCTGTACTTATGATTTATGCATCTATGTTTATTTTTTAACCTAGTAATGCATTTTTGGAAAAAAAATCAAAAGTCTGTAACATTTAATTTTTTTTACAATCTAACCTTCAAACTGTAAAAGCGAATCTTGTGAAATCTTGTAGACATTATGGTAAATCGTTAATCAAAATTTGTTCGTTGATCCCCCCACCCCCAGCCCAAATGATCACATCATGTTACTATTTTGCCGCATAAATTTTCTTAAACTTTATGAGTGCTTACGCTAGAGATTCAGTTTCCTGAGAAAAAGAAAAATGGGTGTACTTAATTAATTAATTAGTCCTCTCTTCTGTGTCAAGAAGACAAAACCAGTCTAATTTTATTTTCTTTTAACACAAATGCCTATTATCCGAACGTGCTAACAGTGAAATTTTTTCTAAGTACGAATGAGTTATGTATCAGACGCGACACCACTGAAAGAATAAGTTATTTCCGAAAAAATCAAAGGTGATATAATACTGACAGTATATTCATTTTAAATTTCAAATGGAGTTTTTTAAATAGCCGAGATTATTAAACTAGAATTAATAAACTTGCACACACGGTATATTATGTAATTTCCAGACAATGCATTATGTTATACAGGGTGAGTTACTAAGCGTGTGTTCCTCGATTTTTCATTAATTATTAGAAATGGAAAGAAAACTCAAAGACGAAAGTTGTGGACTAGATTGTAAAATCATTTTTTAATATACAGAATGTTTTCTTTTTGAGGCGTAATACACAACTTACTTTTTTAAATAAAACGCCCTATATATTTATACATATCGTAATTGCCCCTTCTTGGGGTTTATGACCACAGTTTATTTTTGAAATTCCAATGCGACGTTGCCACGTTATTACGATTTTCTTGACATTTTTTAGCAAACGGAAGGGCTCACAAAAAAATTCGCATCAGGGTTATTTTTGAAATATGGGTTACAATATTTTGTGGACAGACAAATAAAGATACGTGCTTTGTTGTTGTGTAAATAAAATACAAGTTTCGTACACAGAGTATTTGATATGTTAATTTTCAACTATCGCCATTTCGGTTCTTTCGAATAGAACACCCTGTATTTTATTTTTATTCCCTTTCTTTTTGTTAAGTGTTTTGTATGTTTAATGTTGATAATTATTGCGATTTTTTACTCTTTTATGAAACACATCGACATATTAGAAGATTAGGAACAAAAAATAAAGTGAGATATAATAATAAAATTCAGGATGTTCTATTTGAAAAACTGAAATGTCGATATTTGAGAATTGTCGAGCTTTAGAATTTTTTTATAAACACTATAGGT